GGATTTTTCAAAGTGTTTGTCTTAACTAATAGAGATGCAAATTTTCAAATACTAAGAGAAATTATCTAAGAAAATTGTTAATACCATTAAGATTCATTATATTAATTCAAATGGCAAGTTTTTTTTGTCCAAGGAAAACTAAGAACCATTTGAGGAGTCCACAAATGATCAAGAGTGATGTTTGCTTCCCTTTCAATTTATCATGTTCCTACACTTTATTCCTATGAAACTAGCACAGATTCACTTAGGATTGATGTATTTCTAACCACACAATACAGATGTATATACCTTTACTTTATAGGTTCTTACTAATATTAATATTATCAAGTTGATTTGACTAGATTGGTTTGGTATGTTGCAGACACTGGCCTCTAATTAAATATTAAAATGCATGACATTATATATCAGGGGTGGCCAACCTGCGGCTCACGAGCCACATGTGGCTCTTTGAAGGATTATTTGTGGCTCTCGATAAATGTACCCGAGTTCCGTTTTCATTTTTGTGTTATTATATTTTAAAAAATTGTTATTGTTCCGTATGTGTTTCAAAATGTCTTTTAAATTACTAACAACAAATATGAAAGACTAAGTGCAACGTTGTAACAAAGTTCATTTCTGTCCAAGTTAAGAATGATATGACTCATTGAAAACTGCGCGAACGAACATAAACAGTGGCGTAATCGTCCGTTATCAACCGACTCCAGACTGATTTTGAATTTGTAAACTGTCATTGCAATGGACAGTTGACATTGTGCTCTGGAGGAAACAATTTGTATCACTCTTGCTATGAATATAATTTGTAATCTGGATTTTTTGCATACCTTTTTAATATGTATTTAATTGCAGCTCGCGAAAAATTTCAGATTTTGAAAAATGGCTCGGACTATCAAGGAGCTTGGCCACCCTAGTTATATATATTATTAAATCAGAAAGATAATTACAACAGTGAATCTCTTAACTTGAACATTTCAAATATCTAGGATCTGAAATCAAGAATACAGAAACAAAAATAAAATTAAGAAAGATCAAAACACTGAGTACACATTACTCATTTTACTGAACACATAATATTTAGAAATTAAAACTGATGTTTTACAGCAACTAAAATTCATATATGCATGAAAACTCTCGGAGTTTTTCATACAAATTGGCTTCCTTCCAAGTGAAAGACAAATATGATTAATAATTTTAATACAACTTGCTTGTTTTGTTTGTTGGATTAATCTGACTGATTGCCTATCTAGTATATATTGGCAGGATTTCTGGTCCAAACCATTCTGGTCTGCAAAAAACTGTTCTTGTCAAAGAACAGTTTTTTGCAGACCAGTCTGGTTCGGACACCAGTTTCATAATAAAGATTAAATAATTTTAAGATTAAGGCTTTCTATGAGCCACCAAACAGTTTGCCTATGTTTTCTCTTTTTCTAAGACAATCTTTGTAAAATATACTAATGAAATATTAACTGGAAACCATATAGATCTTACATCACAGTGATAAAATGGTTTCCAGAGATAGAAAGAGCACAACAGAGAAACAAATCAACTATTTAACTGATTATAATTATAAATACTAAATTTGTTTCTATTGTTCAATCTCAAGGAAAATTCTCTTATGAAATATTCTTATTTGTGTATATATATATATATATTATATTTATTACCTTAAGAAAATTAATTAAATGTCACTATTTATCTATCACAGTTGATATTAATTATATGAATGTTCTTTATATATTTGTTAATATACTTTGTTTTTTTTTTTCCATTTATAAATACATTCAATCTCTGCTCTAGTAATTTTGTCTTTGTTTTCCAAACTTAACATTTCATACAAATCTTAAAAGATTAAATTATCTATTATTTTTCTGTTATGACTAGATACAAAACGATATAATAATTTTACATTAACCAATAAATCAAGCTATTGCCCAGAAATATTTAGAAATGAAAAAACACAAAATATACCAAAAACTAGTAAAATAAAATTAATGATATAAACATTTTGCCTGTTTCTAACAAACATCAGATACATCTTAATGAATATCAAACAGAATAATGTTAAGTAATTGAACATATTTAAATATAAAGATGTGAAGTGGTTTGAATCTTACACTTGTGCATTGATATGGTGTTACCAATATAACACACAGAAATTTAAAAATTACAATTTACATTTTAAAAAATAAAAGTCCATCAGTTTTAGACCCCATTTTTGCTGATTCTGAAATGTGTCCTCAGTTGAATTGTAAATGATATGGTCCACTTAGCTTTATGAATAACTATCACAAACACAAACTTCCTGTTTACATCATGTTTTATATTAATAAATTACTTAAATCTAGGAACTGTAAAAAAAAAAATGTATTGATGATTAAACAAAATTTTCTCAAAATCCAGAGAATAACTAAGAAGAGAAACTACAATTTGTACACAAGAAAAGAAAACATGGCCATTCCATTTGACATCTCAAATTGGATCTTTACTACAATGAGTTAGAACTGTAATTTCAGATATGCATTAAATGACTTCATTTATGTATAAAAATAATGCATAGTAGTCATTAAAACTAAATGTACATACTGTATTTAAAGTATCAAAATGTACTGACTTTCAAAAAACTCAATTATTAATTGCTATGTTAATTGCAGATAGCTTTTATGAACCAGAATAAACTAAAAATTTTAGAACATTTTTGCTTTACATTTGTCAAGTAAAATTATATAATTTTGAAATAATCTCTCAAAAACTTTAAATCTTATCTAAGTTCAGCAACCAAAAGAATCTTGCATTTTGCAATTGACTTTAATGTTTTAATACTCATTTGGGATCCTTTATTATTATTATTATTATTATTATATAATGTATGTAATGTCACTTAAGACAAATTATAAAGTTTTTATTAGCTCAAGAAAATTTGTATGTTATTTTCAAAGCAGTAAGTAATAACATTTTTTAGAAGTATTTAATTTGAATTAGTAGTCATTTTTAAAAAAAATTTATTTTGCTTGTTAGCAAAATCATATTGTTTTCTATTATTCTATTATATTAAACTAATAACAGCTTGTAAACTACTTTTTTATAACAGGATGAGCTGAGAAAGCATTATCTCAGAATACAGTTTCATTTCTATTAACAAAAAAATATTTTTGTAATTGTAAAATACATTGGAAGAACCATGCATAATGCTTAGTAGAAAAGCAAGAAATGAATTGTTCTTTTCTTGCCTTTCTACTAAGAAAAAACAATATGGATTGTTCTTCCATTACAACAAAAAAAAAAAAAAAAATACTATTATCAGATCAATTGCAAAATACATTATAAATAAAAAAATTTCAAAATTTTAATTTAAACTTTTCACATTCAAAATAAGTGCTATTCATAATTAAGCACAGTATTTATTTATAAAAGGTAGTTAAGAATTTTCAAAAATTTCTTAGATACAAGGGAAAAAAGTAGTTTAATAAGTCTTTTCAATCTTATAACATATTAATCAGTGTAATTGATAGAACAGGTTCTCTAATAGTCTTCATTCTGAATCCAATAATTTTTTTCAATATAGGGTACCTCCTAGGTCAAAAAACATATTAAAGTTTTTTTAAAAAGTTTATAGGTAAAATTCCTAAAAAGACTATTGAATAATGATTTCTTACAATAAATTTTATACAATTATAAAATACAATAAAGTTAGTTATTTGAAAAAGAAATGCAATGTAAAAAATTTATAGGGATAAAGTGGATGTAATTTAAGCACAATTAAAAAATTGTATAATTAACAGAATCACAGTAATCGAAGCGAGTACTCATATGACATTTAAAATTGCAAATACAGTACGGTTAAAAACAAATCATCTGACAGTATCAAAAGTGAACTTACCAATAATAAAAAATTAAAAAGAAAACATTAAAATTCAATTGAATTTATTAAACAACTTGCTTTAACAACACTTTTTATATATATAAGAAAAAAAACACCATATAAAACCAAACATGATGTTATAAAAAAATGTTCTTATAACATTTCTAAAGTTCCTTAAATCAGTTTATAAAAAAAAGGTATATTTGAGCTCATTAACACATTCTATTTTATTTAATGTAATAACTTTGTTAAAATTACCAGTATGTTTTAACCGTCAAATACAATCAGAGGGCAATCATCATCATCGGCAAGATAAAACTAAACCACACTGACATTTCAAATACGGGTCGGTACATATTTCCAAGAAATTTTACGGCCAAATGAAAATTTGCAAGTCAATTCTGGACACAAGCTTCTACAGAACTAATCTATGTACACTAATGCAAAACAAAACAGTTTGACTATTTTGCTCACGATCTTCAATTCGCACAAAGACAAACTAAATTTACGACACATACCACAAGCATTTACCCATCAATTATCGCAAACAATTTTACAAGTCCGGCATAACTGAAATTATAGAAATATTTTATGCAACACACACGCAGGAACCATAAATAAAATCAAAATGGTTTGGGACGAAAAGATACCAGCTCTTTACTTGGATTCATTTTTAATTTTACATTTCATCACATGCCAATAAAAAAAAAATGCATCATCATCTTAACTTGAAAATGTAACTGTAAGCAAATTTGTTAGCAGTCATGTTTGTGGAATTTGTGGGTTTATAGAATATTAACACATTCCAAGTCGACCTTGTGACATTCTAGTTTGGTGGGTGAAGTAATTTTGATGTTTACGAAGGGAAAAATTTCTGTGATTTAAATCGAAACTTCATCGTTTATCTGTCTGATTTCAACACATTTATTTTAGGCTTACTTTCCTTTAATTTTTTATGCTTGACGTATTGCTTACGTGGCTAAGTTCGGCCAAGATGTTATTTAACCCAATTCTTTATTTGAAAACGACTAATTTACCCGAGTTTTATTGAAAAAAAAACCATTTCAACAGTTGCAATAAAGCGAAAATGCCAGCAAATACACATTTTGCACTAAGGGCGATTTAAGCCTAAAAGTTAACTTACACTCGATCTGTTATTTCTCTAATTCTCCACATCGTGACTGGACGGAAACTTCTCTTATTTATTCCTACGGTGAGTTCTTTTAGTAAAGATGTTGTAGCCACACTTTTTAAACTAATTAAATGCGGACCGATATTGTTTTCGATCTCTTTTAACTATCTACCTTTAAGACTTCGACGTCATAGCCACAGTCACGTGACTCGTACGCCCCCATTTCCGGCAATAGATGGCGTTGACTACGATCCGTCTCCGGTGATTTCCAATTATTAAACTTGGACTGTAATCGCCTTAGACGAATAAAACCGGAACAGACTACTTTTATAATTCTCCACTTCTTTATATTATTTATTTAAACATGTTAATTAATTATTTCGTTTTAAATGAGAAAATTATTTTCTTTTTGGTTTGAGCGATAAGTTTTTAAAGGAAAATTTATTTTTTTTGAAAAAAGTACTGTACGGGTGTAGCCTAAATGCTTTTCCGGTTAAAATGGGTAAACGAATTCTATTGTTAGAGTTTTCAATCATTCTGCGGGTATTGTGTGAATGAATGATAATAAATCATTATTATTTTTTGTCGATTAAAGCCTTGCATGAGTTATCCTTTCGAAAATCTCCTAGGCTACTTTTTAATTCCATATCGAATATTCCGAAAATATTCGGCAATAAATTTCCGTAGCTAAAGTTCGACGACGAAAGTTAAAATAAAGAATAAAATGTCATAATTTAATTTATTATAGAATTAAAATTGAAATATAACATTACTCGGTTGTTTTGTCTTGTTATAAGCAATTATTTTAATAAGACGGCCGGATGGCCGAGCGTCAAGGTTCGATCTGGGTCCTTCAAAGCCTACCGCTCTGGGAGACCCGGGTTCGAATTCGGACGGGTGGATAAATGCCCAGGAATTTTTCGGGGGTGGTCCGACAGGATATGTCGGACCCCGTTTCTCACCACCCTGCCGTCTTAGTGCCCACAGGGCGGAAAGAGTAAAAATAATTGTTTTAGTAGTGTTCATATTTGATTTTGTGTTTTCGCAGGTAAAATTTAAAATAATGTAAATGAATATTTCTTCGTTAGGTTTATATATAAATGCATAAAATAGCATAAAAGTTAGAAATTCGTAACCATTACGAGATAGAAAAATATTCGGTACGAGAATATTTGGCTTCGATTTTTGGACTTTAGTCAAACCGCTAAATTGTGAAATAAAATTATTTATAAATTGTGTATAAACAATACATTGTTTTAATAGAATTCTTTTTGTATTTGTTAACTACGATTTTATTTCTGAATTAATAATTCAAAATCAGTTTAATCTTCAAAAATCTTTTGTAGATTACAATTTATTATATAAAATCTGAATTTTATATTTTTGTTTAATAGTTCTTGTAACTGATGTACTGTACGCCTTTTGAAGTAAAATTAATACTGTATATGAAAAACTATTTTACATTTAAATTCTTGAATAAATTGAATTTTATTTTAATCCTCGAATTTAAGTAATGTTTAAATCTCAATACCTTGCTATATATATTATTTTTAATAAGTTTCTTGTTTTTATTTTAGTGTCTGTTTTATATTAATTATTAAGTGGCATATCCAGCGGCGTACCCAGGATCTGAACTAGAGGGGGCAACTCATATTACTTTCTAGGAAGTGGGGAGGGAGAGAGAGATTTCAAGACAGATGGCTCTAGTCTAGTCACAATATTCATTATTCAACCTGATACTAAATTGATACGTCTGTGCTGTGTGTCAATTACTACACTTTAATTTTCTTTCTAGGGAGGGGCAGCTGCCCCTCCCTGCTCCTCGCTGGGTACGCCTTGGGCTTATCCCATCAAAGTAAACCGAAACCAAACTCGATGTGAGCCTAGTCGAACCTAAGATGATACGGTAAAAAGGCCTTGTAGTTCCCACAGGGCGAAAAGAGTCAAAAATAAAAAAGATGAAAGACAATGTTTTATTTTTCTGTCTACTTCATAAACGGCGTGGCACAGAACAATATAATCTTTTCGACTTTTTCGGCCTTCTAAATTTTTAAGACACCAGTTACTTGTCTTTCTGCCCAGTGTACACATTAAGGCCTAATACGTCGACCGAAACGTAAGCTAAAAATTGCATTCGATGGTCTTTCTGTATCAAATTTAAAGACAAACGGGAACGAAGTACGAAAAATCAAAAGATATGCCATCTGCTAGCTATGATTTGCCTGATAAAAATGGTGCTGGAGAAAATTTGTGTCGTATTTACTGCCAGAAATGTTATCGTCACGGGCACGTTAGTTGCATCATTACTAAACGGCCTTCCTATTGGTCTATTTTTTACCATTCCGCTTTCCGCGACGGAAAAAGTTGAAAACGTTTAACATTATATTCTATCGGCTTCGATGATAAACATTTTAAGCTTCCGTCGTCCGTTTCTGCATGCGAATACTAGACCTAAAAAGGCCTTTTTGTCTTTCTCATTATGGGTTTGACTAGGCTCTTAAGACAACCGGTTTAATGGAATAGAAAGGACCCGATAAATCTAGTACAGTAATTCGTTTATGAGTTACCTTAATCCACATAAAATATCAGCAAACAACACATGTTTGAATAATATAATTAACTTAATATCCACGTGTTTAATTTGTAATTAACCTTCAAAACATTTCGCTTTTCAAAAAGATATTACGTATTCTTACGACACGCAAATTTTATAAGAAAAAAAAACGTTCGTGTTAAATAGCAGAAATTTAAAACAGCGTTTTAAATTAAAAAATGAAATAAAAACTATAAAATTTCAGTAAAATATAATAGCGTACAACGAAAGGAATTAAAGTTACATAAATAGTGAAAACAATAATTCGTCTTTGAATTCGATTGTGTACATAACAAAGTGTTTTAGAAAAACATAACTATCAAATATTTTGTGGAAAATATAAAAATATTTTCGGCATTTTTTCAAAAAAAAAAAAAAAACTTTTTAGATAAGTCAAAACTTCATTTCAAATGACTTTTTGAAATCATTTTCAATCATTTTCAGTGATTTGAAATCATTGAAAAAGCTATGAAATCAGATAAATAGACTATATATAAATATATTTTCATGTTAATTTTTAAACTCCGTAGTTTTGTTTTTATTTTTTATTTTTAAGAAACATTCAATGTAAATTGTTTGAATAATAATTTAATCAGTTATTTTCATAAGAAAACAAACATTTGTGTTTGTTAATTTCCTTTATTGTTTTACGTGTAGTAAATAGTAAGTACTGTGAACTTGTTTAAATACATCAAATACTTTTTGCTGAAACCACAGTGCAATTATTATAATAGTTTCGAGCAATAGAATCGGTCTAAAGAACGTATTTCTCAATTTCTCAAAAACATTCATTTAATGATTTTGAGAATATTTTGATGATCCCGAAGCCAAGAGATCCGGCAAAACGAATGGAAAATTATTCCGTAAAATTTTATCCAGTTTTAAGAAAAATTAGCGATTTATATAAATTGTCATAATGATTTTTATTTTGCATATTTGTTTTCTTACAACGAACATCTTTAGTTTGGACATCACTAGTTTAAGGCAACGCAACCAATTACCAGTGTTCAGTGGTTTTATCCTCTCGACCACTCGAGAGGGCCTTTTTAATCATACCCGTTGTGGATTTGGCCAGGCCTACAATAGGGACTACCGAATGGCATAACACGGGACGCGAATTTTTTTAAATATAACCTCGATAAGCAAAATCACCGTCAGTTCGTACTGTGATTGGTTAAAACCTGTAGTTAAAAAAAGCTCAAACTACCAATGAAAAGTTCTAAAACTTTTTTAATTTTTAAATAAATAAGCAATTTTCCTTCTTCGTTCACAATTATATATTTTTAAATGCATCATTTTTTATTTGCAAGAAATCCGATATTACCGAAATGTTTACAATTTTTTAAATATAAGATTTATGCTGATTTTTATATAAACGTCATGTTTATGTTTTAATTGACAAAAATTTTACAAAATTTTAAAGATTCAGATTTAAAAATAAAAGCTATTTTCAATTTTGTGATTTTATACTTGCACACTTTATACATCCAATTAGCACTTTTACATAAATATAAAAATGTAACTTTTCTGAATAACTGAAAATGGCTTATAATTTACACTATTTGCCAGGTTTTAAATATTTTCCAGTATTTTTTTTTGCATAATTATATAATTTTTTAAAGAAATAAATGTCTATCCACTTTTATCTGGTATTTATAATTATATTTATAAAGGAAAGATATTGATGAATTCTTTTGTATAAATTAGTGATGTATATTTTCATATTGTATACACTTATTTGCTGTTTTTACTATCTGTAACCAGTTGTATATACAAATTTAAGCACAAAATACCGATGTATACTACTACAATTAAGAATATTCGCTAACGGTAATTGTCTCGTTTCGTACGAGCAATGCCTCTAGTCTAAAATAGGCGCTTCGGTCGTGGAGAGTTTTGACCAATGGCAGCGCCAGCTGACGATACTTCTGCTTAATTCCTATGGGTGCTCTCTCAGATTGACTTTCCGGTTCCCAGGCCGTTCTAGGAAAAGGCTGATCCACAATATTGATCAAAATTTACAGGAAATGCATAACAAAGTCCAATCTGAATGAATTATTTAAAAAAAAAAATGCCCCGATCCATTTTACCATCTGAAATCTTTTTATATAGATCTTTATATTATTAACTCGGGTATACAGAAGCCGGATAACCGAGAGCGGTTAGGGTAGCAGCTTGACTCTCTGGAGACCCGGGATCGAAAATTTAAAGTTGTGTGTGGTGGACTTTATTTATTATTAAATTTATTTCCAGGAATTTTTCGGGAGTGATTCGTCCGGATACTTTGACCCCCAATCCCTCGACATCCGGTTCCCTATTGTGGGCCTGTCGAACTTATAATAGACTTGCTAATAAATAAATAATTTTAAATTTTTTGCCTGGAAAATTACGCAACCTGTTACTAAATTTTTAAAAATGTTATCAAAACTTGTTGAAATTATTGCAATTTTAAACCATTTACTTTATAACAATCTTACTCCAATTATTTTTAATAGATATTATTTAAAATACAATATTATTTATTGAATCTTTTCCAATCTATTTTCTTTTCTCATTTCTTTCTTTCTAAAACGTATTATAGCGAAAGAATTGACGTTACCGAACAACATGTTTTCAATTATCTCTTCAATAGCTCATTACAAACAA